CTACTTCACCAAGTGGATCGAGGCCGAAGCCCTCGTCAATATCACGACGCACAATATACTCCGTTTCTACAAGAGGAACATCCTCGCCAGGTTCGGCGTCCTGCTCGCCATAGTCACCGACAACGGGACACAGTTCACCGACAGAAACTTCCGGGACTTCGTCACCAAACTCGGTACCAAACACCATTTCACCTCGGTCGAGCATTCACAAACGAACGGCCAAGCCGAGGCAGCGAACAGAGTAATCCTCCGAGGATTGAAACGAAGACTCGGCGACGCCAAGAGAGGATGGGTCAAGGAGCTCCACAGCGTACTGTGGGCCTACCGAACAACGCCTCATTCGACCATCGGGTAAACCCCGTTCAGCCTCACTTACGGAACCGAGGCGGTGATCTCGGTAGAGATAAGAGAGCCGTTCAAAAGGACCGAAGCTCCCCTCGAGGAGGAAGCTAACGACGAAGCTCTCCAGGAGGAGCTCGACCTAGTCGAGGAGATCCGGTCAGGAGCAACTCTCTGCGAAGCCCGACTAAAACAAAAGATCACCCTTCGTCACGACAGCAGGGTCCTAAAGCGCGAGTTCTAGGTCGGCGACCTGGTCCTGCGCAGAAACCAAAAGGACTCACACGAGGGCAAACTCGTCTCAAATTGGGAAGGCCCCTATCGCGTTCGGGACAAGACGGAGCACAGGGCCTACTACCTCGAAAACTTACACGAGGATCAGATAGCTCGACCATGGAACGCTGAAAAGCTAAAAAATACTACAGTTAAACTCTGCCCGCGAGAACCATCCTCGCGACCACAGGAGCGCGGCGTGGTACGACCGCGTCTCCTCGGAGCTAACGAGATAGCAAGCGCATGCCCTTTGTGTGTGCGGGCAGAGCGTTCTGCTCGACGGCAACCCCGTCGATCGAGAGTCGCCGCCGCAATACCAAAACCGGCAGAACACCCAGCTCGCGATGGGACGTTCACGCCGCAGGGACAGGTCCACGACCGTGGTCCACCCCCTTCACCAACCAGGTAAACAACCTCGGCCAACCGGTCAAGTTCCCTGCACTACCGGGCAACGAATGTCAAGCTCCACTCCCAACTTAGTAAAATACACATTAAAGCATAACTAACGTGCAATCAAACATACAAGGTGAATAGAAATCATGCATAAATATACGAGCACACACACATACTTAAAAAGAAAACAAGAAACTCCATAAACGGGCAGAAGCCCAAAATTCAATTAAACGTGCACAAGCCTGGAAGTCAAATCATTACAGTACCGGGCGCCAACCCAAAATTCAAATGTGGCACGCAGGCCGAAATATCACGGGCACACAGACCGAACTGAAAAATAAAGGGGCACGCAGGCCGCCATCCCTACTCTAAGTGCTCCTCCTCCCCATGTGCAACGTCGTCACCTTCTTCGTTATCCGAGCTGTCAGGCGCCACGATCCGACCATCTTAGATCTGGTAGAAAAGGCCAGTCCCGTCGATCACCAGGTCAACGTTCACGAGCCGGAGCTGCTCGACATCATGCTTGAATCCCACTTCGACAGCTCCGAGACAGTCCTCATCGAGCTGCCGAACCTTGCCTACGAGCTCCCCCCTCGATGCCAGCTGCCGCTCTTTTTCAGATTCCTCCTCGACGGGAGCAACCAGAGGCTCGAGCTCCGCAACATGACCCCAGACATCCTTCAGCTCCTCGTCTCTCTCCTTTAAAGCCTTCTCCAACTCGCCGAGGTGATTCTGCTGGAGTTTGACCTGCATCTGGAACTCTCTCTGATCAGCCGCCAGCTTGGCCCGGATCTCCTCGGACATCGCGAGCTCACTCTTCACAGCAGCTAGGTCCTCCGAGGAACACCCCGCCTCGTTCAACACAAGGGCCGTCTCGAAGACCCTCACCATCGCCTCCAAATCAGCGAACAACATCTTCCATCGAGCCTCCTTGCTCGCAACCAATATGCTTTTTTCCTCGTCCGGTGTCACCCCGGGTTCATTCCTCCCCGAAAAGAAATTCGGTTGGAGGCAGCAAGGGGGCAGGGAGAACTCGCGCTCCGGGGAAGCTTCTGTAAGATCAATCCGAGGCACCTCGTCCTCCCGTCGCCGTTTGGGGACCGGAGCCTGTATCGGGGACCCAGTTGCCTGCGGGGACAAGGTCGCCCTAGAGGAAGCAACAACCAAATTCCTTCGAGCAGCAGGGGCCCGAACTACCTAGCAGTCGATGAGCCTCAGCCTCTGTCCTGCACTCGAGCAGAGCTTTAACATTGATATACCGGACTTCTGTCAGTATATGCCCGTCGGCGTCGCGAATATACTCTCCGTCAGGGGTCATGCACCGCCGAGGAGGAAGACGACCAACGAAGTCAACCAGCCGTCGGAAGACCAGGCTGTCCTCCTCGCCCAGACGACTTGGTTTGAAGATGAAGCTGTCGGTGCCCGAACGAAAATGCTGATCCCCCCACTCCAGAGGGAAGTAAGACTCATAGTTCTCCTCGGGACGCCCGTCCGCGACTGTTACTTCCGAAAGATGGTCTCATATGCATCATTCGTGGCCGGCATGACCACGAACCAGTGATCTTTGAAGCCCCAAATAGAGTCAGTGTAAGGCCGAAAGAGCCTGGTCGCCTGCTTCAGCGAAACCCAGCTATGCCGACCGACCGTTGTATGACGTTGCAGATGGAAGACACAGAAGAATAAAGGAATGGTGGCCCCGAGCTTCAGATAATTGCACACGATCTCGAACGCCCAGAGGAAGGCTAGCGAGTTCGGGTGAAGTTAGGACGGCGCCAACACCAGGTGGTCGAAAACGCCTTGTCGGAAGCCGGTGAAAGGCATCCACATTCCCACCTCTTTAAACACAAACTCATACATAGGGAACCGACCGGCCTCATACCTCGAACATATGCGGTCGGTCTCCCGGGGTCGACAGGCACGGAATCGGCGGGGGCTCCCGGCCACCCATCACCGAGAACGCGTCCAAATCGTCGAGGACGAACCTCGACATATAATTTAGGGGTTCCTCCCCGACCCATTCTTCTAGAGGTCTCGCCTGAGGGTCCAGATCGACCTCCTCGCGGTCCTCCTCATCCTCAGACAAGTACCACTCCACTTCTTCCTCGGCAGGGCCAACCATTTTATACCTGAAAAGCAGAGGAACCTGGTGAATTCGACAGCTAAATCAAATCCACCCTTCCACCGCAGTTCAAGTGAAAGGGCGTGGTCGCCTAACCGCCCACGAGGCGAGCTGGGGGCAACTTCATCCCCCGAGGAGGACCGGAGAGCATCCCCCTGTCCTCGGCGCACACATCCACTCGTGCCCGGGGCATTCATCCCTGCGTCCTCGGGGCATTCAAGGTCCTACTCAATTCTCCCAGGACACTCATTGCAGGACCCGGGGACCTATGGTTTCTACCTTATTTTTGAAGGATCCTCCGGCGTATTCGTTGGAAAAACCCGCGATATTCCCAGCGGAGCCGCCGGAAACACCAACACAAACAACAGAAAACATGAAGAAGGGTGCATAATCTTACTTGATAGGGATGAAGAAAAGATATTGCCGGGCAGAAAAACCAGACGTCGGCAGAAGCGATTGAAGGTCTCGAGCAGAAATTCCTGATCGGTGAGCAGATACAAACAAGCGAATGGGCGGAAAGACGAGCCAAGTCAAAGTATATATACCCCTAGCATGGGAAACGAAGCATCGCTAGGCACTCAAGTGCCTAGCCCATAACCGCCACAAGAGCACACGTGGCAACCCTCCATCTCCCTTGCGTCTCCTCATATTCTCTCCCGACCTCGAATCCGCCACGTCTTTCGCTCGACTAGACGACGAGTCGCATCTTGCCCGACAGGCCTCGACGCCCGACGTCATCTATGCATCTTGCCTGGCGGACCTCGTCGCCTGACTCCATCTTCACATCCTTCCCGACAGATCTGTACGCCTAACACCATTCTCCGCTCAAGTCATAACTCGCCTGACCGCGAGCAATGACTTGGGGGGCTACTGTTCTGGACTGGGCCGAGGCTTAGCCCACAGTCGAGCAAGCCCAAATCTCACCAAGATTGGGCCCAATAGGACGACACTTACGGGTAGGATCCCGTTGGGCACAACGTTCCTCCCACGTCGGGCATGGGTCATCCACTGTCTGGCATGCCTTCCCAGAAGACCAGCCCTCCTATCTTCCCCCTCGTCGGGCAGAACCCAGTCTACCCGGGAAGCTCCTCGAAGGGTTCCCCCACGTTCTCCATGTGTCCCTCATGCAGGGACACGTCACAAAGTAACTGCCCACGTCCTGGAGATTCAGTCTTCCTCCTCCCAGATAGCACGAGACAGTTACCCTAGGGCGAAGACCACGTGCTAGTCTTTACGACACCACGTCAGCCCTAACAATTACTAACATTGGGCCTGGTATCCCAGCCCATTGCTAGGTAACCGTTGGCCCTGCGCTGAGGGCTCACTATAAATACCCTCTTCACTAGAGGGTCAGGTAACTTAATTCTCTCTCACTCTCTCTGTACTTGCTTCCACTCTGCCCGTCACTTACTTTGGCATCAGAGTGTGTTTCAGGTACACCTCCTTCCTCTTCAACACTTTGGTGAACAACCTTCAGATCGACGACGCGTGGCAGATCATCGATCCCCTTCTGGTCAGGTACGATCATGTTTTACTAACTTCTTTTTTATTAATTGTTATATGCTAGTTTGCACAACTATTTTATTCATTTTTTTTATATAAAATTTAAACTAAAAAAAATAAACACACAAAAAATATGTTTATATTTTTAAACGTCTAAACATTAAAAAAGCGGACAGACGGGCACGAGACTGTCCGTCTGGACGCTATTATATATAAAGGCAAAACTTGATTTTTGGTGTAGCCTAATTTTCTATCAATTTTACTCTTATTTTAAAATGGGTAACTTACACAATAACTTCCATTGAACAATTACTATCATCTTATACATAACTTGTCACTAATAATTTTTTACATAACTTTCATTTAATTTACATTAAATAAAAAATATCAATTGTGGCGGTAAGGCACTAGGAGCAGTTGTGTGCAAGTATTTCTGTTGATATAGATTATGAGTATCGCCCTCAACCTCATCAAAAGATAGCAAAATATGTTCATCTCCAGGAAATTTATTAATAATCATGTCATTCAACATATGCACATCACAACTTTTTGGAGTAAGTATCGCTCTCTCCACCATATATGAAGCATCCCATCCATGGTTTTCTAATTGGGGAAATGTATGTTGTATAAGCTTTTGTATGATGCTTTCTCCTTCCCATGGTATTACAATTTTAGCATGCATCCTGACCATGTCATCCTCTTTAGTAGATTCATTACCATTTCCAATCCTTATTAGAAATTGCACAAAGTTTTGGTCATGAATTGATCGCATATTTTGGCGCAAATGTAGGACCTTTGTGGTGGCCCATGATCGAGACCTAACAATACATGCTGAAATCATTTGTCCTCTATTTCCTTTTTCAATAACAGGAAGCACCTGACGAAAATCTCCTCCCAAGATCATTATTTTTCCACCAAATGGAGCATTGTTATTCATGATGTCTTGCAGTGATCGATCCAATGTTTCTACACAATATCTATATATCATGGGTGCTTCATCCCAAATGATTGCATTGGTTATTCTAATGAGTTTTGCAAGGTCATAATTCTTTACTATTTTGCGAATAGAAAGGGGCTCTATATCAATGGGGATCTCAAACCAAGAGTGTGCAGTTCTACCACCAGGTAATAATGTAGCAGTTATGCCTGAGGAAGCTGTTGCTAAGACAATTTCATTATTACGTCTCAAATTTGCCATTATAGTTCGATAAAGGAAAGTTTTACCTGTCCCTCTAGGACCATCAACAAAAAAATTTGACCTTGTTTTTGGTGGATGGCGTTCATAATTGTATTGTAAGCACTCATCTGGTCATTATTTAACTTCTCAACAGATTAAATGTCTTCATTTGGAATTTGAACCGATAACTCTTCCTGAATAATTGTTGGCACTCCCCCGACTTCATTTGTTTCCATTGTCAAAATTGGAAGATCATAGTTTTTTTATTAGTTTTTCATGTAGTAGCAAAAGATCCCTCAATTCTCTCAATAACATATTTTCAAAGTTATCCCCCGCAACATTATTTGTCATTTGATAATCCTCCACCATGTAGGGATAAAACTCATTAAATAGGCCTTTAACATTAGTTGGTTCACAACAACGAAAAATAGTCACAAACAACCTTCGTAAAGCATATGGCATACGCGTATTTAACGCTTCAAGCAAACATTCATGAATACTATTATCACTCTTTAATAACCCCTAATCCTCAGCCGATTTTTTGAATGTGAAAAACCATGCACCATTATGTGTAAGAAGGCATTCCCAGCTTGTTGGACCTCTTAAATGAGATAATAAAACACGCAAATAAAATTTCTCACCTTCTGAAGGGGATACTGTATAGATTTGACCAATACGTTTTTGTTTTGTACGTCTTCGCTGCTATTTCTTGACCCCTTTTAGATAACAATAATGCTCTGGAATCTCTCTGTACAAAGAATTCCTAGCATGTGGTTCCATTTGGTTTAGTGCAAAGAATTCAGTGAGCATGGTTATTGCATTTTTGTTATCATTTAACACATCTGTGATTTTTTTATGCTTATAAAACCACACTTGATGATGATTTGGCAAGTGGATTTGTAGTCTTTCAACAGAGGGATATAACTTGTAAAGTGTGAATTTAAATATTTTCCACAATGCCTCTAGAGCTCAAATCTATCTTGCATCAACATATTGTTGAGTCTCATCCAAACCTGTACCTCTGTGAACTTCCATTGGAACTCGATCAGGACCTTTGTAAACATATTTATACAAATATTTAATGCTTTTGATGCCGTTGCAAATCTCAACATTGATGTGACAATCATACTTCAACAACAACCATGGATTATAAGGAACCACCCATCTATTATCAATAGACTTATTTTTATTTAGAAAAATGGGATCACTAAACCTTCTTCTGTATTCCGAATATGAGTCGTTTTCTTGATGCGTTTCTTCACAAAAGTGTTTTGGATATCTTTTTTTACAATGACCATTCTTCATACATGGAGAGTTTTGACTCAATACTCCACATGGACCATGGATCATGTGTTTTAACACCACTTCATACAATTCTGATTCAGATTCATGTCGTGGTATTTTTGCTTTCACCATACTATTATACTCTTCAGGTTCCCGTAACTTGTCATCAGTATCCAAGATGAGTAGCATATACACGTGGTAGTCCACATTTCTGAAATTCTGTTACATACATATAACTCTTAACTCTCCGTAAGACTCCTTTGTTAATGACATCATCTTTCAACAGCTTAAATTTTGATCAAAAAATTATTGTTAGCAAATTAGGTCGATCTTGTGCAGTTTGATGGAGGCCTTATTCAGAATTCATCTGAATCTAAGAAGGATTTCATGTCATTGTAAGGAATATATCTGGTTTACCATCATTAAGAACAATAGCCATACCATCTTGATATCTTTGTGTAATGTCTCGCTTACTTTACTGTCAATAAATGGCGATGGCAATATTGTCCTTTGTCCAACATTATCTATAGAAATATATGAAAATTATAAAAAATAAACGTGTCGATAGTGGTAAACATAAATCTAACATGTCTTCATGTATAAATCTAACATGTTAAATTAAATACCAGCGTTATTCTCCCCATCGTGCAATGTATCTTTTAACCCATGATATAACTCAGACCGAATATTATTTTGATTTCTTTGAATCCATCTCAACCTTCCTGTTTCAATATTTACATAATTGTCTACAACATACTGTTGTAAAAGTAGACCCGATTTTAACAATACATATTGATTATTATGATGAATCTACATTGAATAAAATAATCAATCATGACCTATTTTTTACACTTTTAGAAGTAAATTTCTTTAAATAATTTGTTAGCTATCACCAAAAGCACATAACTATAGTACTCTCGACATGTAACATTTTTTCCGACATTATTTTTTTTTTCTATGTCCCAACCGTATGTTCCGAACGGAAACAATATAGGAATATTGTAAAGGATCATAATACCCAATTGTTTCTTGAACCTTTGTTAGATTTCCATCACAGTTGATGACATTTATATCTCTTCCACGTTCTATTGTATCTTCATCACCACCACCAATAACAATTGCTGCGACATGAGAAGCTAAAGGGAGACTATATTGCGGTTGATTTGATGAACGCTATTTAATGAGTAACCTACATTCTTTAACATTTTGCTCTAGTGCAAGTTGCCTAAACATAATGGCTAACGAGTTACATTGGTGGAGGGGGTTTTAATAACGCCAGATCTGTGAGGGCAAGCTGTCTCACAATACATGCCTCCGAGTTTTTCGATGATGACAAAACAAATTAGAAGCATCATGCTATATCTCTGTTTTCATTGCTATACCTCGTGTTTCGGTGTTAAATCGTTATACCCAAATATGTGTCATTACTGAATGTAGCAGGATATGCAAAATGGAAAAAGTTGTTAATTTTGCAGGTTTCTAAGCAGTGAGTCGACCATACAGTCGGCGCATGAAGCCTGACATTTCTCACGGCTCAGCGCATGGAAGCTATGCGTCGACCGTACAGTCGGCGCATGAGTGTTTTGATTTTCCACGGTTCAGCGCATAAAGACATGCGTCGACCATGCCACTTAGCGCATGGTGCTGAGGATTTCCCACGGGTCAGCGCACGCCGACCCTATGGTCGACCGTTCGCGCGCTGTGCTGTTTTTCTTGCTGTGTTTAAAAATCTGTTTTGTTGGCTGTTTTGGTTATTACTATAAATAGAGTTTTGTTCATTTTTAACAACCAACAATTGAAAATCTTGAGTAAATTGTCAGGGCAAGAAACGTGAAATAGGTGCAACAAATTTCTTCATCTTCATCCCTCACACAACACACAAATCCACAAATATACACAATCATTTTTGCTGAGATTAGTGTCTTGTTCAAAGGGTGATAAGGTTCGAACGCGTTGATTGAAGATCCGGTTCGAGTGGAAATTGGGGCAGGTGTTTCTTGCAGAAAACCTTGAGGGTTTTACCCATCAAGACTAGAAGGTTTTGAAGGGCTTTTGTCACGGAATAGTTCGTTCAACATTCAAGCAGGTGCGAAGGTAATTGATCAACGGAAGGTTCATCAATTTAGTAGCGAGGGCGTTGAAGTGTTGAAGACTTTCCGGGTTTGATTTGTTGGTGTCTAAGATCAGCCGAGCCGAAGGTTTGAACAACAAAAGGTTTTTCATTAAGGTGGCTGGAATCGGAGGTCATTCACAACAAATTGAAGGGCTTGATTCATCTTGAATCAAGGTGCAAGAAGTGATAGCAAGCATCAACAACATTTGAGATTGTTTGTATCATTGTCTATCAACTCTTGTGTAAACTGTTCATTCCAACAGGTGATATATATTCAATATATCTCAATTCTAATTTTAGAATTGAGGGCAGACGTACCCCGAAGCGAGGACGACGGGGGAACTGCCTCATCAAATCGTGTTTTCTTCATTTTCTGTCATTTTCAATTCAGCTTATAAAATAAGTGATTCTAGCTTAAGTGATTATTGTCAAACTGTGAAACAAATTGAGTAAGGTGTTGAAACTCTGTTTTTAACCACTAAGTACAATAAAAATATTGTACTAGGGCATTTCCAATCCCTCACTCAACATAAATATCCTTTGAGATATTTGTGCACACAAACTGTTCGACAAAAGTCCTGAACTAAAATTGTCTTATTTTGCTTCTAGTTTTTGTGTGTCTAGTTAATCATTGGAACTAGGCCACCTTGCAAATTGAAGTAAACAATTGATAAGCATAGTTTGTGTTGTGATTTTATTTTTCCGAATTGTCATAAATCCATAGGCTTACGTATATCAGGTTTTCCAATAACCGTTCGTTTTTAGACTACATTTTTCCTCGGCCGCTTCCGCACTTAAAACATTTTCAAAACCAATTTTAAATTGGTAGCGCCGACTCAAATTTTAATCAGGGATCTATTCAACCCCCCCTTCTAGATCCGTGCCATAGTCTAACAAGTGGTATCCAAAGCTCCGGTTATTCGGTGCTTCAAATACAACGAGATAGAAAATGGCAAACGAACCTAAAGGGGCGTACAATAGGGCTCCTGTTTTCAACGGTGAAAATTACAGTTATTGGAAAGACTGTATGCGTGTGCATATCAACTCCATAGATAGAAAAATATGGAACGTTATCCTTAATGGTCCAATAGAAATTACTATGACCAATGCGGATAATGTAGTTGTGCCAAAGCCTGAAGCGCAATGGACCGATGACGATGAGAAAAAATACAATTATGATTGGAAAGCTAAAAACATCCTAATCTCCTCATTAGGTGTAGATGAGTATTACCGTGTATCCCATTGTCCTACTGCTAAGGCCATGTGGGATTCACTACAAATAGCCCATGAGGGGACAACCGATGTTAAGTTAGCTAGGATCAACACTCTTATACAAGAGTTCGATCTCTTTTTCATGGAGCAAGGGGAAACCATTGCTGACATGCAAAAGAGATTCACTCATCTTATCAATCGCTTACATTCACTAGGTAGGCCTATTTCCAATGATGTTGCTACTAATAAAGTGTTGAGATGTCTTAACAGGGAGTGGCAGCCAAAAGTAACCGCCATCAAAGAGGCAAATGATCTTACCATATTAGACTTGACAACATTGTTTGGCAAATTGCAAGAGCATGAACAGGTACTCTTGAGCCTAGATCAACGTGAGAAAATGGAAAAGAAAGAC